GGTACATCGACCAGGAAACCACAGGATGTTACTTCACATATGCTAGTACATCGACCAGGAAACAACAGATGTTACTTCACATATGCTGGTACATCGACCAGGAAACAACAGATGTTACTTCACATATGCTGGTACATCGACCAGGAAACAACAGATGTTACTTCACATATGCTGGTACATTGACCAGGAAACAACAGATGTTACTTCACATATGCTGGTACATCGACCAGGAGACAAAGGATGTTACTTCACATATGCTGGTACATCGACCAGGAGACAAAGGATGTTACTTCACATATGCTGGTACATCGACCAGGAGACAAAGGATGGTACTTCACATATGCTGGTACATCGACCAGGAAACAACAGATGTTACTTCACATATGCTGGTACATCGACCAGGAGACAAAGTATGGTACTTTACATACATTGGTACATCCAGTGCAAACATGTTGGCTGTACTGGATTAACTCCATTATCTACTTGGCTGACTTAGAGATTCTTTAGTTACTAGAAAAATGGCAAAAACCACAACCAGTAAGCCAGTTTGTTGGATGAAGATACTCCTACATTACATAAACCAGCTTCCTGGATAAAGATACTCCTACATCACACCTACAACCAATTAGAGGATGTGGTCAAGAAGGATAACTTCATGATACACAAGCGTGTGTGCTCCACAGCATTGTCAATAACAAGAGAAAGCAGCTGTATTCCCAGAAAAATATTCATATAAGAAGTTCTACATTTCAACTTAAAATTTGTAGCAACATTATCTACAGACAAGAATCTGGCTGGTTAACATTACTTGCAGCAAAGTGAAACCACTATATATATATATCATCTGACAGTAAAGTTTTACCACACTAAGTGAGGTTAAGTGACTATTGGACCACACGTGCTACATCTGACTACAGCGGTTTACACCGAGTGATTTTACTGGTGGACATAATCTTAACCCAAACTTTCTCAGTTTTATAATTCATATATGTTTTGTGAATGGTTGACCTTGTATCTTAATTTGTATTGCATGGTCCACATTACATATAAATGCAAAGTTATAAGACTTCCAGCAGATTCCATCTGCCTCTGCTTGTGAGTTTACCACACGATAACAAGAAGCTGAGAAAACTGTCTTTGAAACACAGACATAATAATCCCTTACGAGCAAGAGAACATTTCTAACTCGGACAGTGTGGATGTGGTAAGAAGCTGTCCTATTGGCTGGTACAAAATAATAAACTGACCAAACTCAATAAATCATTACAACAATTCTTTTTACACTTACGATTAGCTCTCCTTAAGGAACATTCATATTATCAGTAGATTTAACTACTTACCATTTCTTGGCTAAATTCTCTGAATAGTGCATTCTTTCAATAACTAGCCTACTGATTTCTCCAATTCACTTTTTTTTTATATGTGGTAATACTTTTTATAATTGAAAATGTCAGACTTAACATTTTCTTAAAATTAACAAATCAATCTCTCATTACTTTATCGTTTTGTATCGATCAGACCCCAACAAGATATAGTTCAATAGAAAAAAAAACTTTAGGTAATAAATTATTCATCTATTTTAGGTTCAAATTGCTTTGAAGTAAAACAAGTTTTAAACTTCAAAACGTAAAGTACAAAATGGCTCGTAAACAGAGTTTATACTTTTAACAACTTAAATTATCTGATGTTAAACCAACAAGTTTTAAAATCCAGCATTCATCACACTTGTATTTTATAACACCTTTAGAATTGCAAATATATAACACATAATGAACCTACTCATAAAATTCAATCCCAAATTTTACTAGCCAACATCAGCATATTGGAAAACACTGGCACATTAACAATACCTCAGGTGTTTCACTTTACAAAACTGTGGAAGATACAGTTAAAAGGTGAAATAATATTACTTGTATATGATCTGAAGCTGACAAACGGGACACCTCCTTCGTACTACTACTACTCAATAAATGGGACAGGACTAAAACTTCATAAGTTTAGAAAGTTGATTTTCCCATTTTGGTACAAATTATAATATTACTAACAACAATAAAAATACATTAGTGAACTTCCTTACCAAAATCGAACAGAAATACATCTTTAGAATAACTTTTACTGTACATCACTATTATTTATAAGGGTTCAGTTTTGTATTCTAATGATACTACTCCAATTTGTGTGTTACTTTTCAAGATAAATTACTAACAAGTACGTAACACATAGAGATTAATTAACGTGCTCACGTATCTATCAGTTAGATGTGTATAATAAGTGGATGATTAAAGCAGTTACATTCTTGTCTGTTTCAATTATTCAAATCTATATTTAGTTTTGATGCTAGTCTTATAAGTGGTAACTTCGGTTTTGAGACTTAAAATGTCAGATATACTTTGTGTTTGATTACTAGCAAGTCGGCAGAACAGCTAACTAAAGGTGTAAACTGAACAATGACAAGAAAAGTCACGGATACAGTTTAAACAGTCACAGTTAACACAAGATAACATGTATACACATCTGCTATGTACCAAGTCAATAAGCTGTCCAGTGGTCAGCCGTGTGGCCAGTTGTCTTCATCTTCACAAAGCTCTACACAAATTACAGGATTGATGCATGCACAGTTGTCCACCAGGAGGGGTGACAGTTGAAAAAAAAAGTCCCTAGTTGTGATTGGACAACCACTAGTTATGCAAACACAAACACACACCAACATCTGCCAATCCTCCACTCGGGTCATGTTAAGATCTGACCGGGACAGCATGCAGCATGGTCTCCACCCCCAGAGGGCATCGCCTGACAACTCCACATCAAGAGACACAAAGCACATACTAGGTACGTGCATTTCCAGCAAAGGGAACCAATAATAACTTTACCCTAAATACTCTTTCATATGGTTCTGTAGGGTCCTTTCATCTTCAGGTACTACACAACAGAGAGAAAGAAACATCCATTAACACACTAGATCTTACTAAAAACAAATATTCCACATCCTCACATTGTATGTTGATCATAATCTAGACATGAGAAACTTAACTTATAAAAAAAGTCTACACTTCTTACTGAATTAAGATTTGGATATTATTTACCCACAATGCCTCATTTTATATTCTACATATTTCAACACGATCATCACTACATACCATATTTTACCTGTATATTTCCAGTTTTAAAAGACCACCAACCTGTATGATTAATGATGACCCACCACTGGCTATCTCAGGTGGGATCTGTGAGAGTGGGCAGCCTTCCACGTTCATGATTTGAAGATTGTTACAGAGAGCCAGTTCAAATGGTAAACTGTGTAGATTAGGATTGTCATTCAAGTACAAGGATTCTAGATTTTCCAACGAACCTAAAAAACATGCAAGGGTTACTTTTACACAGCTATGAATGGCTTGAAAATTGAAGCTATTATGAACATACGTACCACAAGCACGTTACACATCAAGAAAAGAAATATTTTCACATCTACACACTCAGATAACATACTACAAAAATATTAAAAAAAGGGTTGCTTCTGGCACTTTCTGTGTTTGTATAAGTTTCACAACTTCTTAACAGAAATTAGGGGAAACTTCACCTTAATCAGTACTTCCGAGTTCAAGCAGCATAAATATTAGTGTATTGAGTATCAACAATTTTACTGTATAAAGTAGTGATAACCACCAACAAAAATAGAAAAAACAAGACATTTCTGGATTTGTATGATCACCTTTGTAAGGTCACTGCTACATGTACATGTCAAAACAAGCCAAATATATATAAAAAAATAATTTCAGGTTTTATACGAACACCTTTGTAAGGTCAATGGTTGTTTTAAGGAAGTTAAAAACAAGCCATTGTATATGTAGTAGCAAGGAAGGAGGAATGGTTGTTTTAAGGAAGATAAAAACAAGCCATCGTACATGTAGTAGCAAGGAAGGAGGAATGGTTGGTTTAAGGAAGTTAAAAACAAGCCATTGTATATGTAGTAGCAAGGAAGGAGGAATGGTTGGTTTAAGGAAGATAAAAACAAGCCATCATATATGTAGTAGCAAGGAAGGAGGAATGGTTGGTTTAAGGAAGATAAAAACAAGCCATCATATATGTAGTAGCAAAGAAGGAGGAATGGTTGGTTTAAGGAAGATAAAAACAAGCCATCATATATGTTGTAGCAAGGAAGGAGGAATGGTTGGTTTAAGGAAGATAAAAAGCATACTTGAGGCAACAGTCAAATGTAAGAATGATATGTTTTGGTTTAAAAGTTTATACCACAGTGACCACATATCCAGTTGTTTATCATTATTAGGCTTAATGATAACATAACAATATTCTAGTAAGAAAACTTTTACATAACAAAGGAAAAATTACTGTTCTTTACTTTTAAATAAGTAGTTTACAGCTGATAAATGCATGATGTCCAAATGATCTAAAACTAAGATATTAACAAATATTGAACAGAAATAAGTAATGAATTCCATATACAAAAAATTAGCTCCTCCCCCACAAACTCTGTATTCTTGAGAAAAATGTCTTACTTATTTCTTCTGGAATAAAGCCAATGTTATTTTCAGCCACACTGAGATAGGTGAGGCTTGTGAGATGACCAATGGCTCGAGGCAGACTGGTCAGCTGATTACTCTGTAGGACTAGTTTCTGGAGTTCTCGTAAAAACCCTAGAATGTGAAAACACAGAAAATTCGTTGGATAGTTCTAGTGAAACAAAGAAACCACCTTTTTCTCTCATACTTCTCTCTCTAATCATGACTCAAAGCAGAGGAATGATGTGGTAGTCAGTTTTTAATAATAATACTCACAATTAAAGTTAAAATACACACACATTAAAAATTTTTAAAGATAGTGATATATACACTTGAGAGATTACATTTACTTAGTGTACCTATGTGATGCTAGCCAACCAGAAATTGTTTGTTTGTTTTTTAATTTCACGCAAAGCTACATGAGGGCTATCTGTACCAGCCATCCCTAATTTAGCAGTGTAAGACTAGAGGGATGGCAGCTACTCTTTTTACCAATGAATAGTGAGATTGACCGACACATTATGAAGCCACCACAGCTGAAAGGGTGAGCATATTCGGTTGGATGGGATTTGAACCCACAGATTGCGAGTCAAGCTCCCTAACCACCTGGCCACCAGGCCCCAGAAATTGTATCTACAAGATGCTAGCCAATCAGAAAGTGCAGCTAAATGATGCTAACCAACCAGAAATTGTACCTAAGTGATGCTAATCAACTATAAAGTGTACCTTACTCTCTGCATAGCAGAAAGCCAGAATTCCATATTGGTAAGATGGAGAGGCCAATGTAGCTCTTTCCTGAAATTATAGCATCAGAGAGGGGGAATGTATAGGTAGTTTCACCCACTCTTGAGGGATGGGGGGTGGGGATGTTGGGGCATCACTTCTTGGAAGATGCCACTCCTCTCCTTTAGAGAATACTCTTTGCCTGATAAAGGTGGTAGAGCAAAAAATGCTGGAAGAAGAAACTTCTGAAGTGTTACACACGTGGACAGAGTAGAAGATTGCTCAACAGGCCGTTGTATTTTAGACAGTCAGCTGAGCCTGGGTATGTAGGGCAAGAAGTCAAACTGTACAGTACTGAAGAAATACATGAAATATGTACCAGAACAAGCAGATGTGTGGGGGAATCATCCAAGAACTGCAACCCAAGAAGAACATTCAGGTGACATAACCACCGGAAAGACAGTAGGGTGGTTGGTAATGCACTTCCAGGTAACACTCCAATTGAGGGGTGTGTCCATTTGGTCCCATACCAGTGGCATTACACCAACCAAAAGGGAAATCTACATACTGACTTCCCCAGTGGTTTGGAACTCGGAAGTGAGGATTCTCCACTAGAATAATAAAAAAAAATATGGGGAGACACTGAAGAGGTGTGTGAACTGAACAGGAATTTTCTATCATCTGCTAAAGGCCTTTACTGTATAACTAGTTACATAAACAGGGACAGAGGTGCTAGCCAAGTGTAAGGGCATGGTCACATCTGGTGCTGTGTGGTTTATTTTCCTTGATATACAGCATGGAAAATAAAATATATATCCTGAGACTTTCCATATTTCAACAGCAGGGGGCAGATGAGCTTAACACTTTATGTTTTCCACAACCAGATTTTGGAGTAAAGATGTACTCCATTGGCCACATGATGAGTTCTATGGTCTCCAGTATATATTCAGTGAGATATAATAATGGTAATGAGGGAGCTGTAAAAAAACAACTCATCTCTTTAGAACCTCTTGGAAGAATGGAGAATGGAGAGAGAGAGAACTCTGAGTTAGATGAAATCGGAATATGGTGTATGTTATGGGACCAAAATGTGTTGGGCTTTGTTCACATCCCCACCCTTAATATCTCATCCAGGGAACTATGATGGCTGGAGTCAAGAGAAACCAAGAGATGATGAACTTGATGGTAGGTCAATAGGAGTTATCTTCCATGGAGGAATAAACAAGCCAAATGAGTTGTTTAACCCAACCAGCAAACATACAGAAATATTAGTCAGGAGAAGAAGAAAGATCCTACAGTAAGAAAAAATGAAGTCCAGTAAAATGGAATAGAGCAGTAGGAATCATTTAACTCCAAACTGCCCCCTCTAACAGAACAAAGAAGACAACTGGGGTCAGTAAGATCATACAAAGAAAAAATAGACAGAAGGAGGATTGGAGATTACACCCTTGGACAGCCCAAGTCTTATGGAGGAAGAAGAAGCAGTCTGTAAATAAAATTATCTTATCCCTTTGATACCATGGAGAGGGTGCCTAAACAAAAAAGTCAGAGAAAGATGGTACAGGGAACAGGTGATGAAAGGTTCAAACAGACGATTTGTGAGAGCCTGGACAACTAAACAATGTTTCAAGTCTGGGAGATGAACTGGTCAAGGAGGACAACTGATAACAAAAGCTTGGAAGAAGAGCCAAAGAAAGAAATGGTCTGAGAGAAGGTGAGAGATCACTGACAATGCTGCTCTGTAATAAGCAACTGTAGATACTGATAAACTACTCTCAAAATATCAAATAAAAAAATAAAATGAGATGAGGAAAGGTTGAACAATCTGGGGAAAGGGAATGATGAATGGACCAATGGTGGCAAGTCAGCCATTTGCATTCATAAAATACAGGGATTGTGGGCCAACAAGAGCAAGCAAGAAAATGAGCCACTCTGTGAGGAAATCCAGGTAGCCTTGCAAGGGACTGGACAAAACCCATGCATGAAAATGAAGGCATGACACACTGTTGTAAAATATGAACATCCAAGGCTGATACAAAAAGAACCTCCAAATTGGAAGTTTCCTTAGATGCCAAGAGGTGTAAAAGTGAGCAAGTCAAAGAGAAGCAATGAGAAGGACCCAGTAAGGGTATCTCAAGTAATATGCAGCACCCTAGAAAGAAGTTAAAAAGGAGAATACACATATAGAAAAACACTGCAACAATCCTACTTCAAAGCATCTACAACCAGAGCTACTAATCTCGGCCAGGTGACCAGAAAACTGGAAGTTCGGTGGTGAGGAGAATCACAAAAGCATCAATGAGGAGTCTCCCAAAGTGGGAACAAATCCACTAAAACACTCAAAGATGACCACTATTTAAATAATCTGGTCCAAACAAGACGGCCAATCTGCCAACAAGTTCAAAGCTCCTGGGACATGACAAGCCATCAACTGAATGTGGTGGTCATGGACCCAAAAGAGAAAGTTCAGAACCAGAAAGCATAAATCCTTAGAGCAAATGCCTCCCTGTTGGTTGATGTACGAAACAACAATGGAATTGTCTGAATGGATCATAACAAGATGACAAGACAAATTAGGATGCTGATACACATAGACCATTCCTCTGAAGACCATACTCTAGAAGGGGTTCAGATGTTCAGAACTGTCCCACATAGAGGAATCAGTGAAAATGTGTACCTCTGGTCAAGGTGTGGGAATAAGGATGTCTAGAGTTGTTTGGGACTGATAGACACACCATTACAGTGAGAGGGGAAGAGATGGAGAGAGAGATATAAGAAAAAACAGTGGATCTCTAGACATCTTTCATTGATCAGACAGAGTCCACTGAAGAGAACACATAAGACATGTTAGAGAGAAACATAAGACTTGAGAGAACAAATAAATCAAGTTAACTGGGACAAAAGACGATATCAAAGTGAAGGTGGTGAACAGGTTGGTGCAATTATCCCAAGTGAAGGTTGATGGGTCATGATGTAGAGCCTTCAAAAGAAGGTGAAATGCTTATGCATAGCGAAGAAGCTGAATAAGAGCAAAACAGAGACAAGTTGACTGATGGTGAGTGACAGACATAAAAAGGGGAAGATCCCCAAGTTGGACGCAGTGTGATCCAAGGGAATGAGCTTAAGAAAAGTAGAAAAATCTTGATGGTACACCTCAAAATAAGATTTTCAAGATCTAGAAAGATGAGTTAGGTGGGGTTCTGTATGAAGTTGAGACTAAATGGTATTGGCATAAATATAAATATCGGGAGAGGAGGGAAGAGAAGATGATCGGAAGAAAGCTTGTGCAGTAAGGTAGTCTGAGATTCAGCAAAACAACTAGAGAAAGAATATCACATATCCATGTAACAAAGATGGGATTAACTGTTCATTGTCAGGAAGGGAAGAAACAGAAACAAAAGCAATTGGTGCAAACAGTTGGTCAAAGTCGTTGAAAGACAAGGTATACTCAGCTGATGCAACAAAACCAAGAGGTAAAGAATCCTGGATCCAGGATGAAGGTAGAATGGAATCGATATCATGTTGTACAATGATAGCATTCTCAAAATAACTTGATATTAATGAGAATATTTATATAAACCAAAAATATTCATATTTTTAACTACAGTTACTGAAAGCAGAAGTCATAGAGACTCA